AAAACCAGGAGAATGGCGATGTAGTTAGGTTGATATTTCGGCAACGTACCTTTATCGAAAGAATAGCAGAAGTGAACTCAAAATTGCCTGCCGATGTCTCCATTCCATTTTTCATGTTTTTTGCAAAAACAGCAAGCTACAGTTTTTACAGGAGGATTAAACAAACATTCACATTCAGGGGATTAAACAAAGAGCGATTGCCAGCCATTACCAAGATACAGTGCCTAGCTAAGAATTAGTGTACGGAAATACGCGGAAATACGTTTACGTGCAAACGAATCAGTGTCTTAGAATTGCTGACCCTGGGTGTAAAGCAACACCATACGAGGAGGAATTTTTTACTCCTTTTCCCCATCCTTAAAGTGAATTTTTCACTCCTGCCTGACATTGTCTAATCGCACATGCCAAGCCCCTATTTACCTTTCTAAGATTTTCAGATGGCATCCAAAACCGAGCTCACTTGAAGCCACTAAGCATAAACGAGGCTCCACAGAACCTGGACACCTATGGCTATGTCCTGCGTCACCTACATCTGAATCATGTTTATGTATGCACAGAGCAAGGGCGCCAGGTACCTCCAAGCTCAAGAACCCCAGCGACCCCAGCCGCTTGCACGCATTAAGTTTGGTTTGTTTACAAAATGCATCACTATCTGCAGCTGTGCGCCAAATGCAAGGTTTTCACGCATGCCCTTTTTTTCTTTTTTTTGTCTCACCACCGCATCACGAAAGCAGAGCCTGGTGCAAACACCAGCAATGCCTGGTAGATAATTTTACTCCACGCCTTTCTTTTTTCCCGAGGAAACTTGACCACTAAATTGCATCACTCCCGAAATGCAAGAGCGAAAAGATCAAGAAATGTCTTCTAACTTAAATTTACAAGATGAATATCACCATTTGAGCACTAATGTTAACATATTTTAAGTCAAATCAGCTGATCACAAAATTTTGCCTGAAAAATACCAGTCTTTATATTTATTTAGTTACTTTTGCTTTTCTTGGTATCATGCGAGTGTGATGCCTCTTTATTTCTCCTTCTTTTTGGATGGCCTTTAGATGTGCCATCTGCTGCTTAAAATGTTGACCAATATCTCTGCGAGATGATCCAGCTGCAAACTTGTGCGTGTTTCATACATAAATTGGATTAATTCGCCACCCGCCCAAACAAGTTTGATATGCACGCAAGAGCGAACAATTCACGGGCAATGAAGGAGACAATTTGAAGCGCCGAACTTGTTTTTACCGCCATTTTTTCCCCTGTTAAACCCTAGGTTAACCGTTTTTATGGTTCATGGCGGTGCTCAATAATGATAAATCTAGGCCGTTCGGGTGTCCAACTCATCAGGCTACCTGGCAAGGCAATCGCAGGCTGCCATATAGAGGTTTGGGACAGACCTGACGCAGCCAATACAGAAGTGTTTGGTGACGAAATTCTGCCCTCTGGAGATGTTTATCATGCACACCCATTACTTGTCTCGCATTTTAATCTCGTAAATCGGTGGGCATGATTGATATTCATATTTAGGGGGTGAGTGGGATGACTCTGTCTGCCAGCAGACCACGCAAAAGGTACTGACTTTTGTTGTGGGGAACAGGAAGAAGTCAGTAAGTCTCCTGTGGGCCAAGTAATTGCTTACCTTACCTGCTTCCAACACATGAGTGGTAACCAGAGTTAGCCATTTTTTGTTTTAATCCATCGAGTTTTGTCTTAAGACGAATTATGATGCCGCAAGGCAAGCAATGGGCTCATTTTGTTCCATATTCTCGGTTATTTGCCCCAAATTTCTGAAAGTGATCCCTCATGGCTGCTTTAACCAGATGTTTTCTATAGTTGTCATGGGTTGCTGACCGACAAATGACTGTACTGTACATATGCACTATAGTTTTAACACAGGGATATTCTAAGATGCATAGCAATTATAACATGAGTTGAATATTAGTATGTAACAAATAGTCAGACCACTCCATTTAAAATGTGAAGCCAACATCCCAAACTTTGTCATTAGATAATAATAACCAAGCCTAAATGGATGCCTTTGCTGCGGCTGAAAAGGCAAGCAGCAATACTGGCATGGTCATCGAAAAGTTATGCTACTTTTGGAGAAGAGAGATTGTTTTGTGAAGCATACCCATGATTGCCCTTGACATAGGTTAACCATGACAATCAAAATAAGCTGTTCAAAGTGAAATAAAATGCTTTAATTTGTGCGTTGTCATTTTGTTTCGTGTCAACAAGTATTCACAAATGAGCTGAATAAAAATGCAAGTTGAAACAACCCAAAAATTAGCTTTATCATGTTTTTAGCACAAGTGCTGCTGTCGGCAGATAGGTGAGCTTAGATGATGTTCAACATATGGGCTACTCTAATTTAGGTTTAGTTGGTAAAGTGCATGACAAGTGGCAATAGGAATTGTGCAAGAGTCAGTAACTCACAATTTGACCCCGCTGAGATCTCGGGAACTAAGAAAGCTAGAGACACCAAATTTACAGAGTGTCTTGA